AACACTTTGTACTGCAACATATGCTTTCATGTATTTAAACAGAAGCAAATGCTAAAAAAGCACTAGTTACACAGCACTATGTCAAGAAAATCACTAATGGCAGCAAACATTATGGAGTGATATAATACAATAATATAATAAAAATTTAATGACATTAACTCTAAAGCATAAACATATCTCTCTTCGTTGACAGGATGACGTTGGTCCCCAATCTAATCAAACCCATTTCAAGTCCTGAATTCCCAAAAGAATCCTTTCCTCTTCTGTTGCAGGACATCCCAAACAGGGGGCGCTCTGTTTCTGTGTCGCCGTGGGTATCTAACGGCAACTGAAGCCAACCAAACGGATGACGCACCGCGGTGACTCCCCTGGCCTAAGTAGGTAGCAGCGACAGTCATTTTTCCTGGAATCACAAGATTACAGCATTTTTCCAGAAAACAAAAACACTGCAAGGGAGAAATGTGAAAATATCAGTTTGAGCACAAAGTCTTCTTTAGCATAGAAACCCAAAACAATGTCGGGTTTCACAAATTATCCATGCAGTAGAGCCAGGGGTGACATCAGTCATCACACACCAGCAGGACCCCGAAGGTCTCAGCCGTTGGGGTACAGGGTACTGCCTCCCTCACATTTACACACCCTTATGAGGTCCGATTACAGCTCAGCAGAGATCCATGGATGAACAGGAACGGAGCGATCGACTTGGTAGAACGCTCTTCGTCTTCTCCAGTGTCAGTGCTTGTTAATACAGAGTTAACCACGAGTGACCAGTGCAAACGAGCACTGATAACCAGCTTTAACATGCCTCCTTTGCTACTTCAAATTGCAGAAGGCTCTGCTGTTAAACCTTTGAATCAGGTACTTGACCTAAACTGCTCCAAGAAAGATGTCCTGCTTTATGTCTGGGTCAAACCTCATGATTCGCTCAGTCTGGGGCACAAAATTTAAAGGACTTTGCTAAACCAACAAGCTTCTGCCTTTCGGGGATTCAGGGAGTTGGATTTTCCCATAGTGCATTGCAACAAGGGCATGTGAAAATGGAAAAAAATACAAACTGTGTTTAATTGTGGGGGGGGGGGGGGTGTGGCTGCCAAGTCCCTCCCATAGCGGACAGTGCAATCCGCATACACCATATATGTAAATAGTCCACACCCTTAGCAAGATGTGACCCCGTGTCAAACAATAACCACTCTGCTCCATTTGGAAGAGTCCTGTCAGCAAGAGAATGAAGACTCTACTGTCAATGTCCAGGGCAGAGACCCCTCCCTCCGCCCCCCCACATAGGGATCTGCATTAGTGGGGTTGATTAGGTGCCCCCTGCTGCATCCAACAAGCACACTCACTTTGATATAAGATCACATGCAAAATCTCTCATTAACTGTTCCATCTCAACATTGATATGACCTTGTGAGTGTGGTCTTGCGATTTTCTGGGCAGATCTCTGGGTTTTAGGTCGTTACAGCTTTCAAACATTTACGACACGTCCCAAGGGAGGGGCACCCAAGCGGGAGCAGACCAGGCCCAAGGCACCAGACCTCCTGGTCCAGCTCCCAGGCAGAACGCTGTGTGACTAAATGTCACGCCGATTACATGGGATGGGTTAAGAAAAAAATGGCGAAGAAAATGATTCCCCTAAGTGGGGGGCAGAAGGGACGGGTAATACTGACAACACCCCCTGGGGGGAACAGCACGACATGAGTCTGAACAAGCCTTCTCATCACTGTCTGCACATAGCGAGTATCAAGGAGCCAGTGCACGAGTCATCATGGTAGGATTTAGGCAGGTTTCATCAGCTAGCCAGTGGAGCAGATTCAGTCCGTTTTTTACCCCTTTTGCACACTGGATAAAGTCACTTCAAGACCGAAGATTTAATGACCAGCACTTCTGAAGCCCTCCTCAGACAGACACTCACAGTGCTGCTGGGTTTTCACACGAGCCTGGGGCGTCCGATGCTTCCTGGTCACACCAGCCCAGCAAAACATCTAAGGTAAACCAACCAATGAAATACACAAGAAGCAAGCATTCCAACACAAGTGCACAGAAATCTCATGGCATCGGGTATCCTCTAATGGAGAGTATCTACAGAAAGACACAATGAACTTGTGAACCAGGGAAAAGTCTGGCTGATCTAACAGTCTACCTGATCCATAAGGACACATTCACATTCACATCGGCTTATAGCTGATCAACAATACATTTCGGGACCGTGCACTGCAGGCTGAGTGAATTAACCTGGCCAATTTCCATCACCACCTGGTGTATCAACTCAAGACCATAGCAACATGTGGAGAAAGATGTAGTATACAGTATACTACATCTACATGGACATAGTTAAAGGTCCACTGAAGCACAACAGATGATCTTTGTTTTCAGTCAAAAACAGCCTGGAATTGACAGACATGAATGACTTTAACATTTATGGAATGTGACAGGGTACAGCTTCGTCACATAGCAAGGACAATTTAGAGTCAGTACTCAACCTGAATGCCATGTAATTGGATGATTTGGAGGGAATCAGAGTTCCCACAGGAAAAACTCAGAACACTGTGACTTGATGTTGCAGACACAAAACTAGACTTGAACCCGTATAAAATCCATGCGACCATCCATCTTCCATAAAGGCTTTTTCACTTCAGGCACATTGAACAGGAAGCACAGAATACATGCACACAGACTTAATCACACATACTAAGGGCAATTTAGAAACACCCATTCCACAAACAAAGAACCAGGTGCCATTTAGATAAAAGCAGCCTTACAGAGACTCAGTCCATAACAGTAAGTTTCTTCCGCCACTTATCCAGTTCAGGGTGGGGGTGTAGGATTTTGTACGTAATAAAGTTTCACACCACAGATAGCCCACTGGGAAGTCAGTAGCCCATTTATATGTGTGTGGGATTTTCCCAGGGTTTTTCTGATCATGTATCATCTTCATGTATAATTCAAACAACGATATGCCCGTCTGAGATGTGTGTCAGCTTGGCCATCTCAGAACCTCTCTGAAAATTACCCCAGCGTTTGCAGAAACCTTCCAGTATTCCCATGTTATTTCTTGACATGACAATTAACATACCATTACTAGCTAATGAATACCTTAACAAGTTATTTAACTAGTTAAGTTAATTCTGAGCTGGTGGTGCAATTTTCCACATAAAAGGGACAGTTGGGGGCCCTGGGGAGTTCATCCAGTCATCAAATAAGATATGAGCAACTTTTTTCGATAACCAAAAATTTCTTAGTAGATTTTATACTGTTACTGTTCATTTGTGTGTTGTGTGTGTGTGTGTTTTAATGCACTTACTACCCAAATGCATAGCTTAAAACGTTTTCCTTGACTGCCTAAGACTTTTGTACGGTACCGTAATACCACAGCCCGGCACCTGAACACCTCACGACCTTAACATCTACTGCGCCTGCTGTCTGTGGGCAAAGTAATGTTTCAGGAAGCCAATGCTGAGACTTCTGTTATATTTAAGATTACTGTGATCATCTCTTTTGTTCGTGTACCGTCACCTATGGGTAAAAGTAGTAATACCTACCAAGCAAGGATAAACACAATCATTTTAGTAGAAAATTATCAGCCCTTTCCCTAGACAGTGCCTACTAGTCACTGGAGAGACCAGATGGGTCCCTGGTTTCCTCTCATGGTTATTTAGGCATTTATCTCAGAGACCAGTATAATATAAACTTGGGACCGAATGGTCTTAATGTGCAACGTAAACGTGACAAAATAATGCCGGAGTGGTGATGAAAAGGGAAAATTTTAGGCTAGAGCTGCGACATCGTGGCTTCCTGCTCTGTGCTGCGGCTGGATCACCGTCCTCAGCCTCCCTCCTGTGCAGAAACGCTGTAACGCCGCAGCCGACGCAGTTCAGCACCACGGACAGCTCTCGCAGGAACGCATAGCACATTCATAGATTAACGGCGTTTAATAACCAGCCTGTTTTTTTTGTTACCATTTAAAATATATACTGTTTTATTTAGGCCTGATTTCACTTACACTTGCATTGCTGACACCATAAATTGTATATTCAGTAACGGTAATAACACCTTACATCTACCTCCTTTTTTTTGTCCCGCAAATTATTTATAAATGGATTCTCCGTCCAGAGATATGTCTCTTAGGAGCCTCGGTGATGGCTTTTAATATACATTTACTTAAGGAACCACAGAGCAATCCGCATACACCATATACGTAAGTGGCAGAATTGTCTCTTACGTAAGAAACATCGCCTTACATCACCAATCAAGAATCTGCACCACAATCAGAAATTCATATTGCAGGGACATGGAATACTACGACATGTTACGTTTCAAGCCAGTGTTGAAGAGCTAAACATTAAGGACGCATTAATTCTGCAAGGCGTCTTAACATTAGATCTTAACATTAGAAATATACACATATATACGATCAATGACAGCACATGACCTATAAACAAAATGATCGAAAAACAAGATTGGATCTAGTGATCATGAAATCCAATCTGGCATGACGTGGCATGGAGATAAATCGCTGTGTCCTGATCATCACGGAGTTTCCCAGGTCAGCATAATCCGCACATTAATCACCTTCTGGGGTGAATATGCACATTCCATAAGTTGCAGTATCTCATGCTTTTTATTTATCTAGCTGCGTTGGCACAGTATCCCACATGAGGCTGTATCTAACCGCCATTTCTCCAACGCAGCACCAAAGCATCCTCGATTATTTACGCACAAATTTACTTTCCAGCAACGATCTTCTATTATATCGTTAACATATTTCGATCGTATAAAAAGCACAATATAGATTCCGACGCACCAGACCCGGAATGAAGAATACCGATTGTACCCTTAATACAATGAATGGTTCGGCGTTACGGGGTAAATACGGTTCCCTACATCCGAGGAGAGGTTTGTTTATTTCATCGTAGTGTCAGGGTGGAGGGGGCTGCTGAAAACTAGAGGCGCCCCTCATTCACTTGTTTTTATAGCGTAGCGTAATAGCGGGGCTGACATACCAGGTATCCCACCGGACCATCGTCATGCCCTGGTGCCACAGAGACTGCTGATGGGTGTTTGTTACTCACAAAAGCATGTCCCCAACACATCGTGACCCATCGCTTTCATTGGGAAAGAAATACCCTCCCTAAAATTAGAGCACCGCAGTGTCAAAATTAAAATCAACGTTTGTGCCGATTGCATCGGAATGTCATGCAATCACAAATATTGTGTTTCGCAGTAAAAACACACGCACATTTCTGCAAATTTCACCAATACGTTTTACTCTTGCCAGTGTCCGTTATTCATGGTTAAAACCATGTCGATCGCTCCTTAGGAAAAACACAAAGCACTGAAACAAATTACACAATGTTATTTAAAAGGGACACCCTTATCAAATATACAAAGCGGCTGAACAAAAAGGCAGCGAGATGCGTATTAATCCTTAGTATAACTAGTTAAAAAGGCACATCAGTTAATAAACCCGCATGAATGCGATACGGACTTACCAGAAGTGGGACGCAGTAGTCCAGCAATTAAATAGGAAAATGCTCCTTCCTGCTACCGTGACAGGAGGCTGCAGACTCCGCCTGGGATCGACATCCAGCAGATGAGGACGAGCGCAGCGGACTGAGAGCGAAGGAGCCGCAGGGAGCCTCCGGCAGGTGGGGGATGGGCCGGGGGGCGCTGATCTTACATATTAATGACGAGACTGAGAAGTACACGGTGTTTCCGCTGCTGGGACCCTAATGGGGATACAAACGCTGCTAAAGAATCACTTCCTGGGTGGCTTCTTGTATAGAAGCCCACCGAGATTTCAGACTGGCAGAGTCAGAAATAGGCCCTAATTTCCTGCGAAAGCTGAATTCAAAAATACGCCCCTTCATGCATTTAATTTAAAATCTCAAATTTATACTTGAATTTTTTTTTTTTTAAACAAGGTTGTTGTTCCCTGCATGTATGCAGTTACCACGGCCTGATTCGTTTTCCCTTCGCCTGCCGCCAGCATTTTATTTATTTACTGTAATTTTATTAATTTACTGTGATTACCATTCTTTCTGGAGATTATGCACGACAACAATTATTATGTACATTATCAGCAATTTTGCGTGACATCTGTAATGTGCTATAATTAAGTTTGGTAATTGACTAATTTATGATTTACATTTTCTGAGTGTAGGCCTATGATTTACATTTTCTGAATATTGATCCAGTTAAAATGGATAAGCGTATGCATTATTAATATATTGCCTATATATAGATCACTATAAACGCTGTCTTGACAAAATAAAAACAAGAGGAATGCATGTGAACCTTGACTGGCAGCCGTTATAGCTGTTGAGGAATCAAATTTAGACTTTTCAGGAATCGTTATGCATGTAACTTATTCTTTATTCGGCTATCTGTTGCCAAAGTAGCCTAATACGAGTGATTAAGGATGACCACCGTAATACAGTATGCAGTGTGTATGTATGGCTGCTTGCAACAAAGTGAGACTTTTCCTCTTAAGCTAATCGGTGTCTTCCAGAGAACCGCATCACTCAATTAGGTTTGATGCTAAAAAAGTCAATTATATCAGAGATGTATAGTGATCTGAGTTCAACAGAATCACGCAAAACGTCACATCGATTGAGTGCTAGAATAAATTGCTAGGAACTTAAATCAAATAACTATCTGTTTATGTCGTAACTCTTTCGGTAGGCCTAAGATACATGCATACTGCGACATACATTATCATTATTATTATTGCTGTGGTTGAATGAAAGTAATTCTTTGTGTGACCATATTAAATATCCTAGTATTGTCACGCTTATTAATTTATTAATGACTCATAAATTATGCGTGCTTCTGCCTTTGTAAAGCACTTTGAATTGCCTTGTGTCTGAATTGTGCCGTATAAATAATCCTGGCCTTGCCTTGTAATAATAAAGTGCGCTTTTCTTGGGGAAGTTTTTATTTGCGGCTACTGTTAATTTAGTGTTTTATAACAGTCCATATTTAGCTGACGTTAGTGACGCTGAGCCAATAGGAAGCGAACATTGGGTTTTCTATCCAAATACAGTCGTAGCTCAACCTTTATATGGGAAGAGAAGCATTGTGTTCCCTTTTTGTGAATCAACACCAGTTCGTTATAATGTTAAACGCATCTACTCAAACCGACCCGTTAAACTCAAGAAATTAGTTTAAGAAATTAGTTAAAGAAATTATTCTCGTTCTACAAACGTACCTTTCCATTTTAACCCTACTTAGAATTCTAACCTTGCAGCGACAATACTGAACAAGTCTAACCTGATAGCGACCTCTAGTGGTTTGAGACAAATTGAAGGCCAAAACATATGAAAGGGGGATAGAATTAAAAACAAAAAAACAGTATGTTAATAATTGCGGGTATTCGTGAGACCTGATACCGTGAACTCTGATTTAGCAGAAAATGAAAGCGCAAGATACATGTACACACTGTCATGAAAGGAAGCACAACTTGACATTTACCAAGACAAAAGAACAGACTATATGTGCGATAGCATATTCAATATATTTTAACATAATAATATTTCATAAGGCAACATTATATATGCCTCAGGATATGTGTTGAATACTATAAGCAATTCTGAGAATATTTTCATGACAATAGATCATAAAGCTGAAGTGAGATTGAAGGTTAAAAACCATCCCACTGTACATTCATATTGTTCAAATACAGAATTAAACAGTAAATAAACTGGATTCCTTCTCTTTGAATTTCCAAAAATGCTTGTACCAGTCAACAAATATTGCAAAAAAGGTCTGTTGGAGAATAAATGAAAACAATTGTATTGCCTTTTTCTAGTCAAGAACTAATATAGAATATAGAAACAATCAAATCGCAGCTTGAATTTGACTAATATTTCGACAAAACAGCCTAATGAGAAGAGACATACATACAAAAAAGCATCTGCATAAAGTATTATTTTCAACTTTCTGTCAACTTACGGTTGACATAAATCAAGATGCCAGATTACCTCACAGTTTAAGATACTGGAGAAAATATGCATAGAAACATTTTCTTTTTCTCCACTACGCCCAGGATATTGAATAATATTTCAGGAATCGGGGGTAGTGCTGTGACCTCACACCTCCAGGACTGCAGATTGCATTCACGCCCCAGGCAGAGTTTGTATGACCCTCCACTGAAACTCTGCTATTGGTTAGTTTCTTTAGCTTATGCACGTTTTACTTTTTTAAAAAAAATGTTCTTGTAATTTGTTTTATTTTCTGCAATTTATCATTTTAACTACTTCAAATATCCTGCACGTTTCTAATTTCCCATTTAATTGGTTTTAATCTCTTGTTTAAATTGTTGTTTTAAATTTTCCTGTACTTTGCCATGACCACGTAAAGCACTCTGATACACAGTTATGTCTGAAATGTCCTATGTAAATAAATTTGCCTTGCTTATGTCCAGATGGGTTTATTTCAGGTCGTTTTTTTCCTGTCCAAAGAATCATAATTAAGAATCAGGTTAATTTGCACACACAAGGAATTTGTTTCCGGCAGTCAGTGTCTCTCCGATACATTACAATACAATAGAACAAAACAGTACAGATCAAATACAATATAAAAGACATCTTATTTTCAGACAGATAATGTACATAAAGTGCAAACAACATACAAACTGTATGGGAGGTCTTAGATTCAGTTCAATGACATGCAAAGAGATGATTAGTATCTATTGTCAGGATCTGTGTCGGGCGAGCGGGGAATCAGGCGAGAGAGCCGTGAATACTAGAAAACGGGGTTTTATTCGAAGCGGACAGGGCGAAGGGGAGCACACGGCAAACTCACGTTAAAGACAGATCTGGGGAATACTGAGTCAGACGCGGACTAAATACACAGAACAGGTTGAACATAACAGGTAACAGGTGTGGGATTCAATAGAATTATAAAGAACATACAACGAATAGAGAAAAAGGAAAATATAGCTTAAAGCGGGGCATGATGAAAGGGGGGGGAGTTCATTCTAAAAAATGCAGTTAACTGAAACGAGAACTGACTGGCGCCGGCAGGGCAAGGTTACCTAATCGGAACAGATAGAGGGAGCGACAGACAACGTAAGCAGCCCTTACGTATCTGTAGCCTTCCACAAGGACAAGTACTAACCGACTAACTAGAGCAAATGTCAAACATGTGGTTGTCACGTAGACGGAAGGTACCGAGAGAGGGGGGGATACCCAAAGGGCTTTTGTTCCTCTTGTACATGCTGAATATATGTCAGAGCATGGCTCCCAGATCGATCTGTGTAAGGAATAAACTGGTGACCTGCAACTTCTCCACGTGTCAGCTGTGAATCTCTTGACCCGGTGGAGACGGCGTACTCCAACACAGGTGAATACAATCGGGAATTAACACGAGGTAACGAGGGGGGCGTGGCACACACGAGGATCGGACGAGCCGGGCGTGACATCTATGATGTGTGAGTGTTTTGTGTGTGTGCTTTTATGTGCTGTGATGCAGTAGTGTGCACTTCAGGATCAGCCCTGGCTTATGCCTTGAATGTCTGAGGAGAGACTCCTGACCCTGCATTAGATAAGCTGCAAAACGGGATGATGGATGTGTGAGCAACTGCACTGGAGGCCATAAAAGACCTACAGACAGGTATAATTAATTTAGACTATATATTGTCTGTGACGTCTCATCTAGTTGTACTGTGCTTATAGTCCTTACCTATAGTTACATTAAACAAACATATTTTAGTCAAAATTAAATTTTAAGTGAAAGGACACAAGTGACTCAAAAAATAATTCAGTCATTTGTTATAAATAATGAGCTTTACTGTGGAGCAGGAGTCCAGTATTTCTATGTACCTGGTACTACCTTCAACTGAAAGGAGAATTTCCTGGAAAACAGACCAGAGTTAAAAGCATTAAAATGCTTCAATTTATTAGCAGAGTCACATGATGAATTAGGCTTCTGTGTAGCAAATGGCTTTTCAAGCTGAGGGAAAAAAAAACATTTAATGCCTAAGGATGGATAAGGCTAAAACAGAACCATTATTCTTCGTAAATATCTTTATAATGGGCTGTAATTCTCATTTGCCTGGGATGTTTACTTTAGTCTGCACATGAGAAAAGTAATAACCAAATGGGGAACAAAAAATACACCAACAAAGAACAGCACCAGAATGCTACTTTGCCAGACTGAAGTGGTGTACTGAGATGATAACACCTGAAATATTGTAAATTGCTTACATTTTCATATTATATATAACAAGCTCTGCCTCCTTTGATCAATGCATGCATTCATCCATCCATCCATTCTTGCATTCATCCATCCATCCATTCTTGCATTCATCCATCCATCCATTCTTGCATTCTTCCATCCACCCTTGCAGTACAAGGGCAGTGGAAATTCTATGGAGCCAAACTCAACTAGCACATGAAATATAACAGAGGAACACTTTTGACGAAATATCAAGAGCATGCATC